CAACGATTAGAGCATCAATCTGCCTGTAATAATCGCAATTTAAAATACTACCGAGTTTTGATTTACTTGTTTATATGTTATAACATCTAAATCTGAAAGTTTATATAGATTGGTTTTAATAATCATGTTTCATGATAGTAAAATAGTAAAATAAAAAATATCTTCAAAAATAAAAATTACCAAGAAATGATGTTAAATCAATTATAAGATTTTCATCATTAAGACAATATATGGCATCAACTGCTTGACAAAGTCTGCAGCTTTTATAGCCTCAACAATGTCGTCACATCAATGAATCATGTCTTTATTAAGATAAATAAATCGATTGTTGTTAGGTTAGCTAACGTCCATTTGGGAAATGTTTCACGCGTTTTCCAAACCAAGAACATTTTAAACACAAAAAAGTATAGGTAGTGCAAAAAAAGTGAATCGGAGATGAGGGTCTAAAAATTCGGACCACCACTTTAAAAAGGGGGTGTGTTGGATAGAGGTAAACAATATTAATACCCATTCAAGAGGATATCCAAAGGTTCTTGAACATACATGGAAGTGGTCTTCTCCAATAACGAGAGATGGGGTTTCATCTCCTAATTAACGAACATGTCGCCGTATTCGCACAAAACAGCAAAACGGACACCCCTTCAACATTGGTATTTCTGTCGGACAGAATGATCAAATGTCCTTATACACCTTAAACAGTAAAACAGACACCCCTTCAATAAGGGCCTTTCTGTCGGACAAGGAACATTTCCTTTTACACCTTGAACAGCAAAACGGACACCCCTTTAGCATGTGCTTGTCTTCAAGACAGGAGATGTCCTGGTGACAAAATGTGTACATCCCTGTCAACTCTTCCGGTTACTAAAAACAGAAAATTGGACAAATTATTAATTTAAAAAAACGCTGTTACAGAATTATGTGTAATATCAATTGCTAACAACCTAATAATAATTTATACATTTATAATGCTCTTTCAGAATTATTTAAGGGAAAATCACTTTACTTAAGAGTGATTAAAAAATTGAACATAAACTCGTCAATAGAAGTTGTAATCAAATTACTGGATGTTATAAAAACAGTTTTTACTTGGATTAGGATCTTCAAATCAACTTTCTAATAGCAAAATAGGGGGCAGTCGTTCTTATTTTCTTCACCACAAGGTTTGACGAGGGTAAAGAAATATGATAATCGCGTCCGTTTGGCTGTGTGGAACGTGTAAATACGTAGTCATATCCTGTGGAAATATGACTGCTTGATTTGTGCAGATAAATCTACAATTCTAAAGTGATTTACAACTACATCTTTAATACCACTTAAAAGTAATTTAGAAGTACATAAATAAGATATTTTAAGTAATCTGATGTCTTATATATGTACACGAGACATTAAAGTATTCTAGGTTTCGTCTTTGTGTATGCAAACTCGGAAAGTAAACTAAGCTGACTATCTAGCTGCATCGACACCAAATTCACAAAATAAAAAAAGACATCAATGTGCATATAGTGTATTATGTGCAGAATGATTTCAGCCACTTTCAGTAACTGCAATCATTTTCAAACCGACATTGCTATATTTTTTTCTGCTAGGATAGAATTATCGTATAATGAAAACTCGACGGATACGACTTAGCACCGCTGTTGTCATATACAGCACAAGGATAGAATTTTAACATTTTCATTTTTATTTCTTCACCTCCTGGATGAAATAAGCTGTGAATTTGTTCAATTTAATGAATATTTTCAAAATAACTCGAAACTAAAATTGAAGAAGTTATGATTGAAAATTAAATTTACGAACGAGATACCCCTAGATGGCAATGATACATCATGGCCCGTATGTCAATAGGACGATGCATGATGTATCTTGAGTCTTCATTTTCATTTTGAATAAAACATAAACATAAAAGGAATATACATTGTAAATGATGTTGGTCAAGTAAGTAAGATGCACATTTACCGAATATTTGTTAGTACAAAATGTATATATATCAACTAGTTGCTGAAAAACTAATTGCTTTCTAATATTGTAGAAAAAAAACATCGTAGAATCACTTTTTCGAAAAGATATTCTCATTTTTTAGGTTAAAAAACAAGACACATTTTCTACTGAATCTACACCTATCCAATTAGACTAAAATGTAAAACAGATTGAATTAGGTGACAATAAAATGAAGTACACACTACGTTTATTTTTCCATAATGTTAATCACTAATAGAGCAACTTCTTGAACGTTGAACACGACAGTTTTATCCATTTCTATTACCACATCCGTATTTTAGCAACGGCCAATGTAAATAAAGATGAGTTCAAATTCGAGGACAATATTCATATCGATTCAGACTGTCGGGTGATTATTTAGAAGGAAGGTAAGAATAAATTTTAGCAAGTAGAAAATTTTGATTGTTATATGTAACTAGTTCAGTCAAAACTTTTTGATGATCTGGTTCTGATACTGTAAATTCAGAAATTATTGTGATGTTTTTATTATTGCGAAAAATGCGACAGGATAATAATCGCAATAATTTAAACTCGCATTTTGAAATTTTTTATATGAATTAAACAGGATTTTTATCAATATCAAAAAACTTAAAATCGCATTTTATTCTGAAATGACAAAATCGCAATAATAAATGCACGCAATAATTTCTGAATTTACAGTAGTTGCAAAAGATCTACAAAGATATTTGAAATGCAAGTCCGTCGAATTGAACCCAAGGTCTTTTGGTTCTTTTTTTTTTGTGAGTCAACATTAAAATTTGGTTTCAAACATTATTTGTAGAATAACTAATTCAAGATATCGAATATTAAACCATATTCAACGATATACAGAACAACTCGATATTCTCGAATGTGTAGCAATTCATTTGCGATAATACACCAGAGGTGGTATGCAAATTATTGGAAGAAGAAGAATATGTATTAGATACAATACAAAGGTAACAAAGAAACAGGTCGGAAACAACCTGCCGGATAGTTTTTCTGCACGAGTAGTCAGGTCAATGTCCGAGGCAGTGCAGAAAAACTATACGGCAGGTTGTTTCCGGCCTGTTTTTAGTTACCTTTGTTTTATATCTGACTTGTACGACGTTTCAAGAAGGAAGAAGTACATTTTCATTTAGAAGAGGTAGCAAAACTAAAAAATATTAGAAACTTAAATGGCCATATACCAGTTTGTTTAAACTCATTTTTTTTCTCACTTCCCTTCAGCCGAGAGTATTTTTCTCAAAAAATTCAAGAATCTAATAACTTTATAAAAAGAACCATTTCAAGTTAAAGGTGAATGTTATACACATTTGAGACTTTTTGAAATGCAACTTCGCAAGTAAGTAATGTATAAAAAAAGATTTCAGAGGTAAGCAAGCTACCATTTGATTTTTATTGGGAAAAAGGGGGGGTTTAAAATAGATTTAAAATAAACAGGCTTCATCCTTTTTTTGTTGAAAGAATGCAGGATGTGCCATTCCAGCCCCCATTCCCCCTAAAAAATTCGTAAAAATCGTACGTTTGCCGCCAAATATATGAATTCAATAATTCAATAACAATATAAATGTATCAAAAGAATGAATTTCTTATCTCATTAGTGAATGAAATGTTATGAAAAATGGATTTTGTCTTGTTATTAGATATATATAGGCATATATTTTGGATTAAAAAAAATGTTCATGCTTATAGGTTTTTATATGTCTCTGATAGTGTTGATCAGGATTAAACACGTGTCATTATATGATCCAATCAGAGCTTACCGTCCAAAATTGATGACATAAGTTGAATGATTTTCTTCAAGATTTGCTGTCTATTTTAACATGTATTACACGGACACTTTTTATTTATAGGATCAATCGTGCATTGGTGAGTTGATAGGGATTTTATCTTTTGATTAGATTTGATTTTTATATATATATTTCCTGTCTTTTTTATTGAAATATAAACGTTGGTACCAGCATTTCTTTTCTATCAGCATTGTCCAGAATACTATTCATGTCTATATATGAAAAAAAAATCATTTACGGACCGACCATTTAGCTTCAAAAGGGGTGTGTTCTTTTCTGAGTAAGAACATTATTTAGTTTTTCAAATATATAATATATTATATATTTTTTCTCATAAAATTGGGGATCAAAATGTTTTTTTTAGGAAAAAACCATAACCCACCTTTTGAAGTTAAATGGTCAATCCCTTAGTGTACTAATATGAATAGTTTTTGGAATTGTTTGAAAAAAAGATATAGTTATTGATGCTAACGTAAATATTTTAATTAAAAAGACAGAAAATATGTCGGTGAAACAAAAAGGTTCAAATCTAATTGAAATTTAAAGTGCCCATGAACTCACTGATCATGCACGAGTGATTCTATTCATAAAAAAGTGTCCGTGTAACAACTAAAAAGTGTCCGTGTATCATCTAAAAAGTGTCCGTGTAACACCCGTTAATGTACTGTTTTTCTATAGCTCTGCGGGGGGCAAAGTCGTACAAGTTGAATGATTTTCTTCAAGATTTGCTGCCTATTTGAACATGTATTACACGGACACTTTTTATCTATAGGATCAATCGTGCATTGGTGAGTTGATAGGAATTTTATCTTTTGATTAAATTTGATTTTTTATATATATTTCCTGTCTTTTTTATTGAAATATAAACGTCGGTACCAGCATTTCTTTACTTTCAGCATTGTCCAGAATACTATTCATGTCCATAAATTGAAGAAAAAAAATCAGAAAATCAGGAATCAGAACATTATTTTGCCAATATATTTTTTTCTCATAAAATTGGGGATCAGAATATTTTTGGGAAAAAACCATAACCCCCCCTTTTGAAGTTAAATGGTCAATCTTAGTGTACTGACATGAATAGTAATATACTCGAATTGTTTGAAAAAAAATAAAGTTATTGATGCCAGCGTAAATATTTTAATAAAAAAAGACAGGAAATATGTCGATGAAAGAAAAAGTTCAAATCTAATTGAAATGTAAAGTGCCCATGAACTCACTGATTATGCACGAGTGATTCTATTCATAAAAAGTGTCCGTGTAACAACTAAAAAGTGTCCGTGTATCATCTAAAAAGTGTCCGTGTAACACCCGTTAATGTACTGTTTTTCTATAGCTCTGCAGTGGGCAATGTCGTACAATAACGTGTTGAAGTGACTTAATATGGCATCAGATTTCAATGATTAAAATACGGCGAAAAACATAGGTATAATTGTAAAAGTTCGATTCCACTTTTAATTCGATAATGGATTAATTTACAACCGTTTGGCTGTGTGGGATTTACAAGTACGCAGCCACGTCTGGTAAGTCGTTGCCTCGTGTTAAGAGAGTTCCACGCTCTCTGCATGTTAAGAACCCTTGTAACAACTCTTAATGTGGTTAGTAGTTGCAAGGCAAAGTTTCTGTCCCTATCCAATATTCTGTACCTTCATTTTTCCAGTGGCAGACCAAATTTCCCCAACCTTCATCCCGGACGGCTTCTATTACAGGACCTACCTTTTGTATTTATTATACGACCGCAAAAATTTTGCGGTCGTATATTGGAATCACGTCGTCGTCGTCGTCGTCGTCTGAAGACACATTGGTTTCCGTACAATAACTTTTGTTTAAGTGTATGGATTTCTATGAAATTTTACCATAAGGTTTATGACCACAAAAGGAAGGTTGGGATTGATTTTGGGGGTTATGGTCCTAACAGTTCAGGAATTAGGGGCCAAAATGGGGCCCAAATAAGCATTTTTCTGGTTTCCAGACAATAACTTGTGAAATGGTGTATGGATCTCTCTGAAATTATACCACAAGTTACCATATCACAAAGGGATGGTAAGAATTTGCTTTGGGGGGTTATGGCTCAAACTGTTTAGGAATTAGGGGCAAAAAAGGGGGAAAACAAGGGTTTCCAGGTTAATGGACAATTACTTAAGTACAAAACATAATTTTAAAGATTGTAATGGAGATAATTCAAACACATATTGTCAAATTACCTCCCTTACACTGCTTGTAAAATATTTTTAAAGAAATGTATTGTCTTTAAGTGATTAGCTGTCAATTTATTTTTAGAAGTTACTATTTTAAAAATGTTTAATAAAGATAATTTAATTATAGCCATGATTATGTATGTGAAGGAATTTTATTTTTAGATATTACTATTTAATGTTGCTGATGGAGGCTTTTTGTCTCACCTTGACGGAGTCAAAAAGCGAGATATAGGTATGCTGTTTCCGGCGGCGGCGTCAACAATGTATTAGTTTGTGATTAGGTCTAGTTCATGGTGAACCACTAGTGGTAGGTCAGTGATATTTGGTCTGCAGTTGTTTTAGCATTGGCACATCTCATTACTATTGAGATTGTTTGGCCCCGCCCCCTCAGTCAAGGTCTAATGACTTTGAAACTTTGCTTAGTTTACATGTATTAGTTTGTGATTAGGTCAGTTTATGGGGAACCACTAGTGGTAGGTCAATGATATTTGGTATGCAGTTGTATAAGCATTGGCATATCTCATTTCCATGGAGATTATTTGGCCCCGCCCCCTCATTCATGGTCTATTAACTTTGAAACTTTTGCTTAGTTTTCATGTATTAGTTTGTGATTAGGTCAGTTTAAGGGGAACTGTAAGTGGTAGGTCAATGATAATTGGAATACAGTTGTATAAGCATTAGCACATCTCATTTCCATGGAGAATTTTTGGTCCTTACCCCTCAGTCATGGTCTATTGACTTTGAAACTTTTACTTAGTTTACATGTATTAGTTTGTGATTATGTCAGTTTAAGATAAACCACTAATGTTAAGTCAATGATATTCGTAAGTTTCATTTCCATGGAGATTATTTAACCCCACCCCCTAATTATGGTTCATTGACTTTGAAACTTTTACATAGTTTACAAGTTAATGTTTGTGTTTAGGTTTGTTTAAAGGGAACGACTTATGAAAAGTCAATGGTATTTGGTTTGCAGTTGTATTAGCATTGGCACATCTCATTTCCATGGAGATCGTTTATCTCATTTCCATGGAGATTGTTTAGCCCTGTACCTTCAGTCATGGTTCATTGACTTTGAGTATTTGCATAACTTACATGTTAAAGTATTGCTATTTTAATTTCAACATTTGCATTATCAAAATAACAAATAGGCAAGACATATCTCTGTGTTAACAGTTTATTAATTTTAGGCATGATTATGATATCATTTTCTATTTTAAACATTATTTAATTTTAGCCATGATTATGTATGTGAAGGAAATTTATTTTTAGATATTACTATTTAATGTTGCTAATGAAAGTGTTTCAATTTAAGGCACATTCATGATGTCATTTTCTATTATAATACTTTTATGATGTATTTAAATGGGTTTTTATGGTTGCAAAGTCCTAGCTGTCAATTTATTTTTAGAAGTTACTTTTAAATGCTGATGAAGGAATATTATTTTTAGATATTACTATTAAAAGTTGCTGATGAAGGTTTTTTAATGTTAGCCATGACTATGATGTCATTTTCTATTTTAATACTTTTATGATGTGTTTAAATGGGCTTTTATGGTTAAAAAAAAGCATTTTTCTAGTTTCCAGACAGTAACTTGTGATTAAGTGTATGGATCTCTCTAAAATTGTACTACAAGGTTCCATCCTTCAAGGGAAATACTGCAATTGAGTTTGATGGTTAATGCTAAAGGGGGGATTCAAAAAGTTTGGGGGAAGGGGGGTTTCCCAATTTTTTTTTCAAAGGGTCAGTCATATTTTTTTTCCCAAATTTTTGAAAAGTTTCAAGAAGAAATCTTCAATTGCACAGTAATGCGCATTAGATTTGTAAGATCTGTGACCACATTTATTTTGTGTCAGAAACCTATATTATGTCAAAAATTTGATCACAATCCAAATTCAGATAGTATCAAGCTTGAATATTATGTCCAAATTTGCCCAAACTGTTCAGGGTTCGACCACTGCGTTCGTATCAGGCAACCAAATTCATCAATCAATCAGTCAACAATCGTGTTTTCGAGCGAACTGTATGGCAAGCCGTTTTACTATTTATTTGAACTTTAAGATATCTCATATAATATATAACATATCTTATATAATCTAGTTTTTGTAAGATATCTTATCTTATAAACTTTATAAGATATCTCATATACTTTATAAGATATCGTCTATACTTTATAAGATATTTTCTAAAGTTTATAAGATATCCTATAAAGTATAGTTCCTTTTTTTGTTAATCTAGTTAGACTGAATATAGTTCTCCGATTTCTTTATACTCATATGAGTATATACGAGCACGCGAGTTAATATGGATCAGAGTTATAATCAGATTGTTTTTGTGTATACCTTTCAGTCCATATATCAGTAAGCAAAATCGATTTCTTTAACGATTTGAAATGTTTAAAACTAGGCATTTGGTTGAATAATAAAGTTAACTTGCAATTTAAAACAGTATACTTACAATGTCGGAAGATTTAAAATATATTTGTCCTCGCTATACGAAGCAACGAGAATACCTGGTGAGTTAGCTTTTCTCCCAGTTTTTAAAGCTCGTACAAAATAAAAATATTGATATTTCCCGCCACTGTACATGTATGTATATTTTATCTTACCTCCTATAGATATCTGGGGATATGATTGGTTAAAGGACTACTCGTGGTGACTACATATATTTGATATAAGGTGTCCTAAAAAATATGGGGTTATTTACCATATGGGGATAATACCATATGGGGTTAGTAAGGAGTTACTTCCCTTTCAAAGCAAAAATGATATCTGAAAGGTTTCAACAGACGAAGAAATTGATAATGAACGATTGAAATAAATTCACAAAACAAATTTAAAGCTAACAAGTTGTTATTGTTGGCATTTGTTTTTTGTATAGACAAATGGAAGTAGGTTCTTAATACTAAGTATTGCAGACTTAATCACTTTGATAGGCCGCTAGTCTTAATACATGTACCACATGTGAAGATTGTCGGTAAGATAAATTCGTTGCACGGTGTACTAGTGACCTAATACGATATATATGGGGTCAGTAAATTCCATATGGGGATTCGAGTATTACTGACACCATATATATCGTATTAGGTCACTAACACACCATGTACTAATAATATACATTTGTAATATCGATTTTGAGAAGTTAAACGATTTTTTGGAAACTGTAGACATTTATTGTTTGTCCTTTTTGTTGCATTTACTCCGTTGATCGATGTTCGGATGGTGATGGGGGTTTTATACTTCTTGGGGGAGGGGAGTAGCTGTTTCATTGACGTGTCCCCCAAAATATCCTCGTACTCACCCAAAGATGTCAACATGTGGTATTCAGTGATGATCAAACTCCAAAAACAAAAGTATGATAGCTAAATTGTATTACCAAAACTTATTTAAATATAATTTATGGCTTAAATAATGATGTTGCAAGTTAATTGTGGGCGTACGTGCTTTGTATAACAAAAATTAAACGTCTGTGTGTATGTGTTTTTTAAGCATACAGGCAGTCAAGTCAGCAGATTGAATAAAAAAGTTGTTTGTAAAACTGAATACTAATATTAACCTGAAATCATTAGATTTTTTCATACGGAATCCAGAGAATTATTTGGGGATTGGTTAGATTATTTTCCCAAAAGTTTGGGTTTTTTTTTAAAGACAGGGAAATTGACATTTTGAAGAACAGGAACATTATCCTCTAAAATTGAAACAATGTTTTTAGTTAATACAAATGTATTAAAAGTTTTCTGAAACCAAAAAATCTGATATAACTTATTATTATAAGGTTACTTATTTTAAGAAAGTGTACAATGCACTATCATACTTTACAACGATATTTTATAAACTATTATTAGGTCTTTCTACTTTTCTGTGGAAAGACCTATTGGTTTTGTTCTGATTATTTTTTTTTTCTTCTTCCGCCGGTGTTTGGTGGTTTCGTAAGATGTCGCTTAGATTTTTTGCATATGATATCGAACAGTTATTGCGACTTTGAAACTGACCCTGTTTAACCGAACTTTTTTATTGTAAGAGTTATCTCCCCAAACACTGTTTTTCTTGTGTGCGCATCTCCTTCGCCACCGTAAAAGATTACGACAAAATTATTTCACTAATTTGCTCGTTATATCCTCAGGATCTTTAGAATAATTTTGACTGAAGCGGTCCGGAGCCTCCATATGAGAGTTATTCCCCCTTTTGTATTTAAAATAAGTGAAATGTAATTGTAACTGGTAACCCATACGTGATAGAGACCTAGGGTCTCTTGATTTGAGGTCTTTGGTCCAATTTAAAGAAAGCAAGTCAATGTCAAAGGTCAAGGTCATGTTCTTAATTTTGATTTTGGCTTATTTTCACTTTCAAAATCTTATAAGATACCAACAACATACTTTGCTAAATTGTTAGTTGCGACATGTCGTAACACATAAATTTTGGTTGAAAGGCTACGTTGACAGTAAATGGCAGTTTTCTCCCCTCTTATATTTTAAATTATGCGAATGGTGATATAACTCATTAACATATATAATAAAGACCTAGGGTCTTTTGATTAGAGGTCCTAGGTTTGTGATCTTGAAATTGAGGTCAAGGTCATATATAATTTTGACGTTCTAGATTTTGACCTTTTCTTTAACTTCATATGTATACATGATAAAGCTATAGGACTTTTGCATTAGGTTGCTAGCCATATGTTCTTGAAAAAAGCCAGCCGGAAATGACCTTGTGTAAACCTGAAGTAGCTATTTTTTGTACTTATTTAATGTGAAAGTATATAGAATCATATATTTTGGAATCAGTGTCAAGTTAACTATCAGATAATACTGAAAGTCACATTTTTCAAACATGAAGTAACAAATTATCTCCCTTTGTTTCAAACAAAAGTGTATAGAAACCATATATTTTTAATATCAGCTTACAATAAGCTATCATTTGTCACTAGAAGTGACATTTCAAACCCAATTTTAATATTTTCCATATCATAGGATGGAAAACCTTCAATTGTTCTTTGAACAATTGGTTTTTAATTTTATTTGTTTTTGTTTTTAGTGACTTTGATTTCGAATTGAGTTTCATTAATTTTGACAATTTTAGTTTTCATTGGAAAAGCCAAAGTATTAAAACAAATATGATGTCCCACTAACTAAGTCTTAAACTTCAGAAATTTAATAGGGTGTTTCGGACCAATTGGTGTAAAAATAAAGAATATGAGAATTTTAGGATATTTTCATATATAAAATATAAATGACAGTTTTTAATCAGAACAACCATATTTAATTTCAGGTTATGAAAAGGTGCCAAAAGAACAAAATGAACGCTTTTATATTTGCTGTTTTAATGACACTGGTGTGTGTGAATTTTGCAACAGGTGATCTTACAGTCGTCAACTCTGTTTCCGGTCCTATGAAAGGACTTAAGACACAGAATAAACAAACAGGAAAGGATGTATATGAATTCCGTGGCATTCCATTTGGGAAACCCCCCATAGGTCCATTAAGATTCAAAAAACCAGAACCGGCTGATAAATGGACGGATACATTGGATGCAACAGAATTTGGAGCTGCATGTCCACAGTCCACCCCAGCAATGATGTTAGATTTTAAGCCGTCTAAAATGTCCGAGGACTGTTTATTCTTGAACGTATATGTGCCAACCCATGTTGACAAAAACAGAAAATTGCCAGTTATGGTGTGGATATATGGTGGTGGTTTAGTTTTTGGCTTTTCCAACCAGTATGATGGAGGATGGATTGCCACGCAAGGAGATGTGATAGTAGTGACTATAAATTATAGATTGGATATATTTGGTTTCTTTACAGTTGACCACCCAGCTTCCAAGGGAAACTATGGTTTATGGGACCAAAAGCTTGCACTACAATGGGTACACGACAACATTGCGTCATTTGGAGGTGATCCTGGGTCTGTTACAATATTTGGAGAATCAGCCGGGGGTTGGAGTGTATCTTTTCAATCATTGATACCGCAGAATAAAGGGCTTTTCCAGAGAGCAATAGCACAAAGTGGTGTAGTCAATGAGTTAACTATGTTAACTAAGAAGCAAATAAATGAAAGGACCATTGATCTTGCAAAGAAAACCTCCTGTCCGATCAACGACATGTATAAATTTACGGACTGTCTTCGTGACAAAGATATAAGTGAGCTTTTGAAGGCCACCGATATGTTTAGTTTTATGCCCGAAGACAGAATAGAAGTTTTTCAACCGCAATATATTCCAGTTGTAGACGGTGAATTATTTCAAGATCACCCCCTGCGAAGTTTAAAGGATAAAAAGTCGGATGTTGCCCAATTCTTCGGCTCTTTGGACTTAATGGCAGGTTTTACATCAAACGAAGGTCTTATGATGGCATTGGGAATACTCCCAAAAGTCCAAGAAAACTTTGATTTCAATACTACTGAAAGTATCCCACTAAGATTTATTTGTAAGGGAATGATTGATCCTTATGCAGAAAAATTTTACAAGAACGATTCTGATGTAAAAGAAAAACTTTGTAAATTTTACACAACGGAGAACTCTCTTGATGAACAGAGTATGAGGGCAACTGATTTTATTGCTGATTCCATGTTTGGATATAACGTCAAAAGAATGCTTGATTATCATTCATCTTTTGGAGGAAGGACATACCAGTATCTCTTTTCGAAAGAAAAACCCCTTATGGGTTATGCGCCGAAGTGGGGTAAAGGATCTGGCCATGGAGAAGAATTACAGTTCATGTTTGATGCCAAAGTATTATTGCCGTCTTTAAATATTAGTTTAGATACTCCAGAAGAACAACATTTCGCTAATGTGATAATTGGATATTGGACATCCTTTGCCAGAAAAGGGTAAGATTGTTACGCCTTATGGTCTGAATAGTGTTTCGTCTTCGTCATTTTATAGTGTGTGCAAAACAATAAACGAAAAACCGTAATGATAGAAAACAACCAACGACGACCACTGAATTGTCTAATTATATATTTCGAATATATATTGCATGACTCCGTTTCTTCCCAACTAAAATTCAAATGATATTACATGTAACAGATTATATATATGAAAAATTCTTTAAATGTCAATGAAATATGTTTAAAGATTTGACACAATTTCTCCCAGAGAACACAAAAATGACATGCATATCTAGAAGTCCTTAAAAAGATCAATTTATATAAATAAGAAGATGTGGTATGAGTGCCAATGAGACAACTCCCCATCCTAGTCACAATGTGTAAAAAGCATTTATGTCCATTTGTGATGCCTAAGTTACACTTATATGTCAAGGCCAGCGAATTTGTAACAACTACAATAAATTCGCACTGTTCAGACTTTTAACTGAGTTCAGGGCATATTCCAGTTCAGACTATTTCCTCTATATGAAAACAGAAGCAAATGAAAATAAAACTTTGTAAATTTCTTGCTTTTGAAGCGCTTTTAAGCCCACCACTTGGCGTCCGTCGTCGTCGTCCGTCTGCGTCCGTTAACTTTTACAAAACCTTTTCTTCTGAAACTATTGGGCCAAATCCAACCAAACGTCAACGCTTGGGTATTAATACTTTAAAAAGTTTGTCCGATGACCCCTCCTCCCCCCTCCAAACCAACATGACTAACATGGCTAAAAAATAGATCATATGGATAAAATGCAATGTTTGGCCCTTTGTCTTGAAAACCGTTTAAGATAGAGAAAATCAGACATGTGCAAAAATGTTCAAAATGATGAGATCTACCTACTGTCTTCTGAAGTCAAAACTACCAGATGACTTATAGGAGTATTTGCCCTAAATCGACGATTTTTTTTTCCAATTTTTCAAAAAAATTATCATCAAGACAAGATCTACAACCTAATCAACAAGGCCGAAATTGTTAGTAAACATCTGATTGAAGTTATTGGACTTTAGTGACGATTTTTTCCCATTTTTCTGCTATTTGCCTTTTATCTTCAAAACTGTAATAGAAAAATAGAAATTTCAAATAGCAAAAATGATAAGCAAATCAAGATCTACAAAGAAGTCGGTTTGACCAAACCTTATTGAAATTATTGCCCTTTAGTGACGATTTTTCTCATTTTTTTTTAATTTTTGCCTCTTATCTTCACTATATCTTTACTATTATAGATAGATAGAAACTTTACACATAAGCCATCATGGCGGAAATCTTCAGTCACCTCAGTATTGATTTATTGCCCTTTAATGATAATTTACCTTTTTTTTGCGGTTTTTCCCTATTATCTTGAAAACTATAATAGATAAAACATAAACTATAAAAAAAGAAAAATGATCAGCATGATAAGATCTACAAATATGTCAACAGGACTTAAATTGTCAGTTAACTCTTAATACTGTTATTCCCCTTGAATGAAGATTTCTACCGAAAAGTGTCAATTGTTAAAGATGCAGGTGATCGACACAGGCTCTTTAGAGCCTCTAGTTTGGATTTACAATAATCAAGAACGCTCAAAACTTAGCATTTGAAAGTCATGGATGAAAAAGTACGTTTAAACGCAAAAACAAGCAAACAAGTATTTTATTGGCCAAATTAAATGATAATGATTTTTTTTTGTAGTGAACCTGAGGGAGCAGTCGAATGGAAACCGTTTGACACAACGTCGAAGTATTATTTGGACCTGGATACAGTCACAACACTGAAGAGTGATTTAAGACCGGAAGTGATGAATTTTTGGTTGAAGGACATGCCATCAATAGAATTAGATCCAGTTGATGATATAAATGTACACGACGAATTATAATTTGTTTCCTTTTTTTTTCTTCTTTTTTATATCTAACGAGTTAACTAAGTCGTTTAAACGAGTTAGCTAAGTCGTTAAAACAAGTAAGCTAGGTTGTTATAACGAGTTAGATAAGCTTAGTCGTTATAACAAGTTGAGAAAAAAGTTAAATCATTAGATATTCACGAATACCTGAATATTGATTTGTATTCATTCCATTTTTTAAAGTGTTTTGTTTTCTCGTCATAACATTAGATTTTTTTTTAAAGATCTGCATTTTTTAGATCCACTTGTAAAGCCTGTCGTCAACTGCTTTTTGTTATTTTGTATTAAAAATGTGTCATTCAAACACTACTCTATTGTCATGACTCATTAGAAAGGTATTTCGCTTGACCTATATATATATATTTTTTGATACTGTGAATTTTTAATGTTATTATATCAAAATGTAGCCTAAATTTATGGAAATAAAATTTGAACCGAGATGGTGTATCAAATAGTGTTGCTTTGCACGTTTTCAAGCACGCCTGAATATAAAAAGATGTACGCCACTTTATCTGTTCGATGAAAATATTGCCTATTTGTATGATTTTTCCCCAAATAACTATTGCCGGAAGCAATGATGCAAATTAATGCTTTGAAAAAGTATTTTTTTATCTTTCAGACGACTTTGGTCGGCGGAATTTATGCTTATCCAAAAAAAGAATCCGCGAAGCTCCATACTATATAAGTATAAGCACGTAAATAAGATGCAAAAAGTCATAAATTGAGCACATACAATAAACTGTTAAAGCCCATAGAAACATAATAAACAATTTGAAGATACCAACTTGGCCATTTTTACCTACTCTAATAAAGAGTTTCATTTCCTATAATAAAGAGTTTCATTTCTTTTGTTCAATTTCAACTTGATATCAGCCTGCTACCAGCATATTTGGTCGCAGAAATATGCGTATTGGTTTGCAAGTTCTGATGGCATTTTATTGATCTAACCAGAGACAGTTTAACTAAGGATTTTGAGAAATTTCTACTATACAAATCCTTTCGTGGTCTCGCATTTATTTACGTTTCTAGTTGTTTGCAGAGGAGAAAACCCGTTTCACCAGATGAGATTTTAACATTTTTATACGCCCGTTTACGGGTTTGAAAAACCTCTGTTTTTACATTTTACTTGATCTCCTTTGATTTGTTTTCGGGTCATTTCTTTACATAAGAAACCCCTTTATTTCTGTGGCGTTAAAGAACACATCAGATGTTTTTAGAATAGACGAGGCATCGCAATTTAGTAGAATGTGGGGTTTCGGAGACTGTAATTAAAAGTTGGGGCGTTGGGTGTCTTATGCATACACTAGTTACATTCGTATGCATTTACTAGTTTCAAATAGATATGAATAAGCGTGGTAAGATATATTTTATATGTATTATAAGTTTTTTCATTGTATGACTCCATCAAGTTTGTGTAATGGCATCATTTATTGTGTATTGGGCGGTCAGAAGTGCTAAGACAAAACCTTACATTACCGGTACAGTCGAAAGGTTGTTTTTGGAAAATGACGCAGTCAATTTTACAATACCATTTACCAGCTTCCAATCCGCTTTCCGAACTCGACTCCGTATTTTACATACTCATGTACTATACAGAATGTTCATTCTTAATCTGCCCATATGTTCATTGTTTTTGAATGGTATTTTGAGCTATCCCCTTAGTATATTTTTCATATTTATACGAGCTTTCGCTTTTATGTGCATGTCTTTACAATCCGTAAAAAATCAGAATATACATAGATCCGTTTTGTTATGGTTTTGGACTTTTTACATACCAATAATAACCAATTGCTAGACAAAATAGTTCTTGAAAGAATGTCAACCGCACTTGTCTGCTGAACTTTAAAATCATTAAAAAAATAATAATCGGAATCATCTTGATAACCTTACGAAAGATAATGCTCTTTATTCAGACTTAAGAAGTTTTTAAGAATCAAAAGTTAGTAATACGGTTATATCCATGCGGTGCGTATGTATTTTGTTAACAATGCAGATATAGGTCAAGTATCGGATGGGCAAAGAACAAAAAGTGGCTTTTGCAGAAGTTTTTCTGTCAAAAAGACTTTTACTTTCTGGATTTTTTCACTTTAAACAGAATTAAAAGATGCAGAAACTTTATGAAAGTAGACAGTGCTCATTTAATCATACCAAAAGTATACATGGACAGTTTTACCCTTTCTCTGACATCGTGGTCTCGTCCACTTTTTGAAACATCTACGATTATTTCATTTCTTTTTTCGAGTTTACAACTAAACTGTTGAACCTGTATTGTTTTGAAAAAAAAATAATCCCGTTGTCCAGGGGTTCATAAAAAGCCCGTATTTTACGAGTACTTATTCTTGTGTCGCTATTTGCAAAATCGAATAGAGGATAACTAAACGAAAAATTCTTGTAAATAAATATAAAATATCGAGATTTGCCATCCACTTTTCAATATCTATTTATTAAATATTATTCTAAAATCAATGATAACAGTGGATGGCTTCGATTAGGAATGGCATTTAATGATTCACAGAGAAATGGCCATTAGTCCATTCTCAATTTTATTGGTGTTAACAGGGTCATATATGCATCAAAATAAATATCTAAGTTACCGGTATGTTCTTAGTGCTTAAGAGATGAAATATAACAAGAATTCTGTGAGTATTGCATGGCAATACATAATCCCCTTTTGGTTAAAAATCATTGTATTGGAACAAATTCTATGTTGATCTATAACTTGTCATGGTGTAAAACTAAATCAAGTCAATATTTTCAAGAATGACAAATGAAAGTGTTGAAAACTGAGGACCACAACTCTGTAGAAATACATCAGACTTAAACAAAATTTGAACTTGGATCTGCAATTAGTCATGATATATACTATATACTAATTTCAAGTTGGACAACTTATTATTTGAGTGAATTTTCTAAGTTCAAGGACCATAACTGTGCACAAAATCTTCACACTGAAACAAAATTTGAACTTCATCTGTAACTTCTCAGGATAAAACAATATCCTCAAGTATGATGAAAAAAAGTGCAGGAAACTTGTTATTTGAGTGAATTTTCTAAGTCCAAGGTCCATAAGTCTGCACACAATCAACAGACTGGAACAAAATTCAAACTTGAACTGTAACTTGTTAAGATAAAACTATATACCAATTATCAAATCAATATCCTCAAGTATGAAAAATAAACTGTTATCACAGAGATATGTTTGGCCTTTTTGTAATTTTGATTATGCAAATGTTGAAATCAAAATAGCAATACTTTAACATCTTACCGTGACAAGTTATGCAAATATTGATAGTCACTGAACCATGTCTGAGTTACATGGCTAAACAATCTCCATGTAAATGATATGTGCCAATGCTAATACAACTGCATACCAAATACCATTGACTTATTATAAGTCATTCCCAAATCTAAATACAAATATTAAGTTGTAAACTATGAAAAAGTTTCAAAGTCAATGAAGCATGAAGAGGGGGTGGGGCTATATATAATCTATTTGCAAATGTAAATAAATTTGCATACCAAATATCATTGATCTAACATAAGCAGTTCATCTAAACTGATCTAATCACAAACAATTACATGTAACCCAAGATAAGTTTCAGTCATAAGACTGTGACTGAGGGGTGAGGCCAAATATTCTCCATGGAAATGAGATACATGTATGCCAATGCTTATACAACTGCATACCAAATATTATTGACCTACCACTTGTGGTTCCGCATAAACTGACCTAATCACAAACTAAAACATGTAAAATAAGCAAAAGTTTCAAAGTCAATAGACCATGACTGAGGGGGCAGGGCCAAATGATCTCCATGGAAATGAGATGTGATAATGCTTATACAACTGCATACCAAATATGATTGACCAACCACTTGTGGTTCACCATTAACTAGACCTAATCACAAACTAATACATTGTTGAAGCAAACGTTTTGAAGTCAATAGACCATGACTGAGGGGGCAGGGCTAAATAATCTCTATAGCCTTTCTGTTCTAATGCGGCATAAAGTAAACAACAATCAATCAATCTCCATGGAAATGAGATGTGCCAATGCTTATACAACTGCATACCAAATATGATTGACCTACCACATGTGGTTCACCATAAACTAGACCTAATCACAAACTAATACATTGGTGACGCTGCCGCTGGAAACAGCATACCTATATATGTCCGCTTTTTGACTTTGTCAAGGCGAGACAAAAAGTGTTGCAAATTGATTGTTTTAGTGAATTATTACTTTCATTCCATATTCCACATATAGTTGACTATCTGCTTGTAGTATTTGAGAAAAGGGACCTAATCACATAGTTTTAACCTGGATTAATTATCCATGAAATGAGGTCAAGGTCAGGTGAACTTTGTCTGACAGATATGATTCCTACTGTCAACTGTATTTGTCTCTTGTGGAGAGTTATCTCATTGGCAATCATACAACATCATCATTTTTTATATGTAGACCTTGCAATTGCAGGTTGCAAACAATCCATATACCAAATATAGTTGTCGTATAACTCATTATAAGTGAGAATTCACAAAATCATTTTTGTTTTGTTTTAACCAGTCGATGAAGTTTAAAAATAAGGTAAAGGACATTGAACATATGATTGACAGAAATTTCATAACATAAGGTATCTGCATACAATACATGAAGCATCCAGGTCTTCTATTTTCTGATAATAAAGGGTTTTTTTAAATGTCAACTGTTATCCTTTTATTGTTATAGTAGCCAATCATTCATCATTATACACAGCAAGTAACTAGTATGGTTATAAATGAGGCTATTAATATTTTTATCAACATTAGACCAAAAAGATTGTATGCACTGTTTGTTCACAAGTTATAACTCTTTGCGGTCAAGGTTATTTATGATGATATTGTTTTTCTGTTGATTTATTTTTTGAGAAAAGTGGGAACGAAATATTTGTTCTACAAACAATTGAATGGATGTATATATACATATATGTTAAATGCAATATAGCGTGCACTTTAAAAGTATAGGTATAATAAATATAAATTGACAATGATAGGTAACCAATAATTCTTTTATTATAATATACTGCAATGGCATAAAAATGAGTTAAGAAATGGAGGACAATATTCAGTATTACATATCAACTGATAAAAAACTGAATTTATTTGTAATTTTAAAATTTGGTTTTGTGAAGCATGTCTTAAAAGAAAAATAAGAATGCAATAAATATATAGTGCAACTTTTTTGAAAAATAAAAGATTTATGCAACTTAAATGTTGCAAATCAAGGAGACCAAAATAAAATGCTTATTAATTTTAAATTAAATATCAAAGGTTAATTTGTTTGTTGTCAGCAAAATTCAGAACAGAAGCATGCACTAAAACGTATATACAAAAAAAAAACCCCAAAAACACTTACTAACAAAGGAATGAAAAACATGATATTAGCATATATTCATGCTTTAACATTATATAATAATCTGTTTCATATATAATGATATTATCCATGCAACAAAAGTATCTATCAAAAAAAAATGAAAATTTAATTAAAAAAAATGTTTTCGAGTCAGGGTGTGTCAGCTGTGTAGTTTTCAAACAACAAGTTTATAAATTGAAGGGACTAGAAGAACATAAAAGGATGATAGCTATGTGTGCTTATTTTTCAAGATACATATGTATTGAATTTTAGTTGGAAAGTATATTTTGATATGTTGAAGATATATTAATGACAAGTTATATGATACAAAAGGAAATAAAATTTAACATAAAGGATTCATGAGATATTTAACAAAATTGCATTTTGTATTACATGTAGATATGAAGATTTAAGAAAAGAGAATTGAGGATTTCTGGGCATATGCGATTAAAATAGAAAGAAACAGAACATTCTATAACTCGATAAACATTCAAAAACTTTTGCAGCTAACACCCTCAAGCAAATGCATAAAAATTATCAATGGTTTTATTACATTTGAAATATGTAAATAGTATATATTCAAAAATAATTTCTAACAGGACAGTTAAAGAAATGGTTGGTCAAATATGTAAATATTAATGAATAAGTATGTAAATTTTAAAGTTCGATTTTAATTGATTTTGACTGAATTCGAATATGTTCACAAATTGTCATCAAAGGTTAATTTCTTTTAAGGTTTTTAGGTATTTTAAGCTTTGTGGCAATTGTTGATTTGGTATAACAATTTAACATCTATGTAGTGATTTAAGATAACCAAAATTACAAACTTAAGATGTTGAACATTAATATTACAATAACAATATAAAAAAGTAGTTTTGTCTTCCTGACAGATGACTAAAGACTATAATGTACTGTGCTAGCCTAAAATAAGTTTCTTGTACACTGTTGTTAGATAATGTAAATACTCCTTTTAAAGAAAGGTTAAATGCACAAGCCTGTGCTATGTATCTTCAATATTTTTTTAATGGACAATACTATTAAATTTATAAAATTTAAATAAATTACATTTACAGGTAAAAGGATGGTTTATTAATATTTCTAAAAAGGTTTAGAGGTAAGTACTCGTGCTTCTTTTTTAAATTTAATTTTTTTTTTATTAAATAGAAATAAAGAGTTCTAACAACAATTAATAATAGGACATACACTAAAAACTCTAGGGGTCAGCATCAATGCAAATGGGGCGCTACTATTATAATTACAACATTCAAAACAGTTAAATGCTTTTCCATTTTTACTAAAGAAGTATATGTAGTAATTGTTGTTTCAAAAAAATGGTTGTTATATAATAACAAGGTAAACTTTAAACAAATCATAAACATAGAAAAGAAAAGAAAACAACATTCAGCTCTCTTATGCCGACTTGTGTACATGTACATGTATACATGAAAATGATAGTACATGTAATAGGATTATCATATATATTCATTGATTATGATAAAGTGTATTTTTCCAGTAAAGCATTATTCTTGTTTACACATGTAGCTACATAATCGCAAAGGAATCAACAACATTATCAAAATGGTTAAAAGCAAAAGTGTCTTCCAGGAAGAATTCTTCCATCTTTAAAGGATCTTGAAGGAGTTCTTCCTGGTCATGAAGCGTACAGAAATTGTTGATTTGGGTGTTGAAAATTGTGAGTTTAGATGTTTGATTGTCCTCATTTTCATCTTCTGATGTTACATTTAATGTAGCGGTTAGGCAAGAAACAAAGTTTTCTGTTTTCTGCAACATCTTACAATAAGGACATCTATTGTACTTTTCTTCTTTTGAAAGAGTTTGTGATTTTCTAGTACAGGATTTACATATGAAACTTTGTGTTATTTTGACTTCTGCTACAGTACCAACATAGTTGTTGGTACAGCAACTGTATTTTCAAATTCAACAGGATCATCAATACTGTCAGTTCTGGTAATCTTGGTTGACTTTGTGGTTGTTAAGTATGTTTCGTTCTTGAAATTTCTCACAGATAAGTTTTCAAATGTATAGGTATCATCTACCTGAACAGATGATACTATTGAATCACATAGTGTTATTCTTATCTGGCATGTGCTGTCCACAACGATAATATCTTGCATATTTGTAGGTTTTCCATAAAGCATTTGTACTTTTGAATGTTCCATTTTGACTACTTCGGCTTTTGTTGAAAGCTGAAAAGATAGGAAAAAAACAAAAATGTACAATAAAGTGTGTAACATGTATTTGGTATCATTTATATACAATTGACTCTCGTTATGTCTAAGTCTGACAGTCGGACCAGAAAATAATTTTGAGATACCCATCGTTCGACTCAAACGAAACCTGGAAGTTTGACAGACCAAGGGACACAGCTCTTGCTTAGCTTGGTAATGCTAAAATAAATTCAGATGAATATGGAAAGGGGATCAGTATTCTGGTCTCAGATCAATGTATTTGTATTTTTTGGTCTTTTATTATTATAATAACATTGTTTTTAGTTATTTGATTAATTTTTCAATTTGGCTTTTATCCGATAGAGTAATTTTAATCAATCTTAGCGTTATTTATCATTTAAAGTTGACAAAATTGTATATTCTTGTAATTAAGGTGTCATAAATCAATACAGTGGTCATTGACCGGAATTTTAATTACATGTGTATTGTCAGATTAACTTTTGAATCCCGGAGGTCATGTTTTGACATGTGTATTTGTTTAGTTCGAGATATATAATAAATTTTGAATGCTTTTGTTAACCTTGGGACTGTAAATTTAGTAAGACTCAACTGAATTTTCAACTCATCCAACTTTGAATCATCAGGAGTCAAAATACATATATTTATATGGAACAAAGTTTGGGACCACGAGAAAACTTTGACTATCCGAAATTTCGAGTCAACCGAGTTAGAGACAACGAGAGTTAACTGTTTATGTATCAAATGAAGTTGTGCACTAGTTTATTCAAATGTGTAGTTATATTTGTAATATGAAATTATAATATGAACATCATCAAACACAATGAAAAAAAGAGAGCGAAAAACTGATTATTTGCATCAAATTTCCAAGGTCCATGATAAAGTCTGCATGATATCATCTGACTGGAACAAAAATTGAATAAGACCAGTAAATTGTCATGATTGAACTATTTATTACTCGTACATATTAATCAATATCTTCAAATCTGATAAAAAAAGGTGCTAAAAAACTGATTTTTTGCATTCATTTTCCAAGTCCAAGGTTAAAATTCATTGAGATCAATACACTTAAACTGGAAACCCAATCTGTCTTCGGACACCGACGACGACATTAAAGCAACATACAAATGTAATTTTTTTGCAGTCATAAAAAAAAATAATAGAGTTCCTATTAATGTCCCTTGCATTACACATATGATATTTCATCTGTTGAAGTTGATATAAAAAAAGTCCAAAGGCATAACTCAAATTAATTAAACAGGATATCAGTATCATAAAATTCTGGCAAGAAATGTACCTGTGAGAGCGCATAAGAGGCCTTTTCCATAAATTTATATTTCGAAGGGGCATAACATATTTTTTTTAAAAGTCCATTGGCGCCAATTTACATATTGCTGTGACATTAACTTATAGTACAAGTTTTTATTAAATTCTAGACAGAATTGTCCCATTAAGAGTGCAAAGAAGGCCATTTATTATAAATTTGATATTTCCATTGGCATATAATTCTTAAGTAGATACACACCAATTTCAGAATTTCTCCAAGATATCCCAAGTAAATCTTTTATGAAAATCTGTCAAAAATTGTATCTGTGAGAGCGGTAACGAGGCTTATTTTCCATAAATTTAATATTTTCAATACTAACTCTTTTTTGTAATTGCTCGAGACTCTTTTAGAAGTTGCCTGAGATATTGCTGATATCAACCTATAGTATAAGTTTTTAGAAAATAAACCTTGAAAGAACTGTACCGACGAGAGCCCTTAAAAGCCAGATAGACTGAATTACGCATCCCTGGTATTCTACCTATATCCCACACAAAAGCATGCATGCCATGGGGGACAATAAAGTGAAGGAAAAGGCAAATAAATGAAGCCTATGCATGTATTCTTATAGCCTATATGAACGATTTTTTTTTTGATTGATGATGGAAGAAAGCTAGAAACACTCGTGTAGATTTTTGGTATCACCTTGTCCTCAATTAATTTTTCGGCATTTAAAAAGCAACAAATTGTACACAATCCCTGAAATCAAGAATAATTTTCACAAATGCAATTGTCCCCAACCTGGTTCATATATTGGCTGGCGACACATTGCAAAGCATGAACATGCATGTAACAAAACTATATATGATTGAGGTAGACTGAGATTACTCCAACCATGAAAGTATTATATTGACAGGAACTCCAGCGAAAGATTAGCACATTCCCATCCCACTGATTTCTTTAAGAAAATAAAAGGTTCCGACTCAGTTTGTCAAGTACGTGATAACTCCTTTGTGGGGTATCTGCGATGCCGCCTTCGCCTGTTCTGTTAACCGAAGCTGGTCTTATCACGTGATTTGGTATCGAGTGTCTTATCTACCTACCAATGTAAATAAACACGGAAACTCCCGTGGTTATTTGTGAATCGCCAAAGTAATAACGACACCTGTTTCCGTTCAATAAATAAAGACAAAAGCTGAAAAGATCGAAAAAAATCGGTCAATATTTAACAGAATGACATAAGAAAATTAACTGCATTCGGAAAGAGGGCAAGCTTATTTTTAGTTTTGTTTAATATGTTTTAATCATTGAAACTTGGAAATCGGGAAATATCCGATATTAAAAATTACATGTACTTAAAGTCGGGTGTTTGCGGAAAACAATGTGATGCACGTGTAGTGTGCCGGACGGTACGTCTAAACACTGCTAAGGAGTCCTTAGTGCACTAAGGACGTAAACTATGCCACTAAGGACTAGAAGGGGTGCAGTTATATGTATTATTTTTCCATATTAAGTAAGAGATTGATATTTAATGCATAAATTTCAAATTTTATAGAATGATAATCACAAATAAACGAGTTATTAAGCATTGTTTAAGCACGTGCCGGTTTTTCTTTGATATGCCGAAAATCAGTGAACCGATTGACACGTGCCATATAACATAGCAACTGAATAAACAATCATAATCTTTTTATTATAAGTAATTAACAATTGTATCGAAAAGATTAATGCTTAATAATTTATAATTAAATGTGTTGTTCTTATTTACAATGATTAAAAGGACAAATAATTTGGCTTTTGTTTTATATCTTTCCCAACAAAATTATTTGCCATAGGTGTGCACCAACTAATAAGTTAGTGTGTGGTCAGCTCGTTAAATATTTATGTAAGAGATACCAAGACAAAAGGAATAGATAGATTTATAAGTTTTTTGTTTTAATTTTAATTCGACGAAGATGCGTGTAAATACAAATGGTTTCACTAAAAAATATGAGTAAATTCTGATAAAAATATCAAAACCTGATGTTTGCCTTTCCACTTTCTATTACTGCTTCATACTTAGTACGAATTACGATTGAATTGAAAAAAAAATCATGTGGCGTCCTTGGGGTTTATCAAAACCACTAGTTTTCAACCAGTTTGATATCTGTTTACAAAGGCTTCATACGGTACCTATTTTTTTGTAATTGTTCGACATTTGTTTTTTTCTAAAAGAATAAGAAGTTTAAATATCATTTATCAAACTTTAAAGTTTCATTTTCAAATGTATAAAGGTGAAAAATGTTTTTTTTTTAAATGTTCCACAGTTTTTAGCACATTATTTACGAAAATTATCCCATATGTGTTAATTTAGAACTATAGATATAATTTTGACATTAAAAGGTTATGCTTCGTACGACAAATGTACGAATGCCTTGAAAATATACTTTTACCACATGATGTGAAAATAATCATTTTTTTGTAATACAAGATAATTTGAATACTTCATACCTTAATCTATCATGTGTAAAAATGAAAGAAAAAATCAAGGATTTGTATAGTATATTACTATACAAATCCTTGAAAAAAAAACAGAAATATTTTCAAATACAATTTCTTTGAATCTATTTTTTCTTTAAGAAGAACAGGTATGTCAGAAGGAAATCCGATTTGTATTTTTTTAACCAAGTTGTCTGTTTAAGATATTGTATGAATCAATTTATGAAATAATTACTATGTGGTATGTGCTTTACTCATTGTTGAAGGCCGCACGGTGACTTATAGCTGTTAATTTCTTAGTCATTTTGTCTCTTGTGAAGAGTTGTCTCACCTCCAATCATACCACATCTTCATTTTTTATATTGGTTGCATGTACATGTAGTAAAAAATTATTATCATATTGAATTAGTTTTTGTCCAGAAATATATTGCTCAAACGTGTTCTTCATATGATAATAAATTTTGAAAATGAACCATAGCAAACGCGTTAGACAATCTCTGCCTAAACAGTTCATATATGAAATTAGTGTGGTTGCATGTAGTAAAGATTTATTATCTTATTGATTTCGTTTTGTCCAGAAATACATTGCTAAACGTCTTCATATATGAAAATGAATTTAGATATATTGTTCTGGAAACAAATCTATTATTTACAAGAAATAATTACAAATTACTCTTGAGAATCTGAAAAAAAAACAAGAATTTCAACAACAGTGTGAAGTCAAATCAAAATTGATCACTTAAATCTGGGACTATTATACTAATAGTCCCAGCTGAATTATAATCTCAAAAAGAATTCATTTATTAGTATCTAACTTCTCCAATCTTGTCGATTAAACACAACAGATAGCAGGATTCCCGTATTATCAGTTATGTAATTTGACGTGTCTAACGGTTCAATGATTTTCGGCATATCAAAGAAAAACAGACACGTGTCTAAACAATGTTAAATAACTCATTTATTTGTGATTATTTTTCTATAAAATTTGAAATTTATGCATTAAATATCAATATCTACCATAATATGAAAAAAAATTACATGTAACACACCCCATCTAGTCCTTAGTGGCATATCATAAGTCCTTAGTGCACTAAGGACTCCTTAGCAGTGTTTAGACGCACCCTGTGCCGGATGGTGCCGGATAACTTAAATTTAAGTTTTAAGGTTGTTAATTTTTATCGAATGTTACAAGAAAATTTATTGTTTTCTGTATCGTCTCAATTTGAAAAATGTTACTAACGTATTTAACAAATATGTTTTAAAGACTAAAAGAGCTTTATAATTACACGCACGTGATGACCTCTACATAGCAATATCAGGTTACGAGACAGATGAAGTGTTACACCTTTTATAATAAGTCCAAATTTGTAAACAAACCTTAAACATTCAACCTAGTCCGAGATTACTCTGACGTCTGACAGATTTTTTTTACGAATGACATTTATTAATTCTGGATCGGCATTTAAAGAAATTTGTTTTTTTTTTTGTTTTTTTTTTTTTGTGAAAACAGTCGCGGGGATTTCGTTTCTTTGTATTTGTTTTTACGCAGCAAAACCGGAAAAACTGACATATTTTTAACTGACATGGTCGGTTAATGTCGTTTCCTTGACAATTAAGTACACATCCTGTTATTTCGGTATGTTCCGTAATTACGATCAATCACGAGGTTCCAAAAATTTGATCGGAACCCATGCATCCATATGACATGTTGAGTTAATTAACAAATACTTAACGATTTTGCGGCATCGCACTATAAACGTTTGAAGTCCGCTTGTTGGAGTTCCTGTCAATATAATACTTCCATGCTCCAACATTCAACAGCTGTTTTGCCAGACATGCTAGGGTTGTTGCACAAAACAGCAGTTGGACATCAGAGTTCTCTCGGACTATCATTGTGTGTGCTAACAGTTGATAATCTTCAGTTGAATGAAGTTGTAGTTCTAGGTAAGAAGACAAAGTTGCTTTATCTATGTTTGTTTTGTTTCAGAATGAAGGGCCTGCTGTGGTCTTGCTGCTGAACTGTAATAAGGACTATAAGGGTTACGGTTCCGCAGCTAGTAATAACCATTCAGGTGCATTTGATTACTTCTAATGCAAATGTAAGAATAGTTTGAAAATAAATAAAAATAAGTGTTATTTTGTAAGACTAAACAGTATGATACTTACAATAGATTTTGCAGGGAGGGTCTGGACTTCTGTCAATTTTCTGATGGGCGTTGTAGACTCTGCCTCTGGTTGGTGAATAAGAAATCGAAGATTTCTTGCAGTCTGTACTACTGTTTTTTTGTTTACTGTAATGTCTGAACCGGTGGTTGTCCTGGATGGCGATTCTGTATAGTTTGAGATCTTCACTGGTGATTTGCACTTTGCTGCGGAGTCTATCATGGTTCGTTTGTTTGCATCAAAGCACACCACTCGTTTGTAATTAGACGTATTAGTCTGTAAAGTAAAGTCAAAGTACTTCGAATTTGTTCTTGAAATTTTTATGGGGGACAATCCATGGATGAAGCCTTGGTATTCGTCGCTATCAGTAGCACTCGCTGTTCTTTTGCTAGCCATTTTGTTCGTTGATTATGGCGGGAAATTTGTCCGAAGAATGCCGATTCCAAAGTCAGTTGTTTTCGTACGTGAATCTTTTGCAATATTTGAAAGTTATACTTTGTTTTTATTCACTTTTCGTAGAAAAATTGACATATAAATATATGTAAAGTTTTCGCCAAAAATATTGATCAATACAATAAAATTCCAAGCAAATCAGGTGTTCGGGAAAGTTCGGAGAGCCGACAATCTATCTTCGGATAACATTTTGTTAGGTAAATTCCTCCCGATGACAGGAACACCTCAATGTATATAGCTATATCATATAATGACCGTATACAAGGACTTATATATACAAGTCCCTCCAGTACATAAAATACAATTTGAATATATAGAATAAAAAATGGAAACTGGCAATGGTGAATGCATAAATGACACAGTATATAAACTTAACTCTTTTTTCACCTACATATGTATATATATACATGTATAAGAATCTCTATTACATTGCAACATACTACTGTCATGACTATTCAATCTAATATTTTTGTATCCAATAAAAATATACTCAAATTTTTCAAGATAACCTCAGAAATTAATGTTACATTTATTATGAATCATCAATTACTTGTAAAAACAGTGAGAGATATTACTAGTCATTTAAAATAGGATTGCAAATATTTTATGAGGAACAACTAATGCTGAAATTATAAATAAAATCTAATTAAAATAAATTCTCTGCACTTGATCCTCGTTGTTTGTACGTCTTACCCATGCGCAACATATTAACAATGAGGAGCAAATGCAAAGAACTAATTTTAATTAGATTGTTATAAATGCAAGTTTAAATCATGAACCTAATACATTGTAGACACATTTTTCTCAATACATGTATCATGGCAAAAATTTCTGAATTGACAGTATTCATTGCTTTGTTAAATGGACAAGTATTTGTTGAGCAATTACATCACAAGACACTTTCATTAAGTCAAACATGCTTAAAGATAACATTAGATAAATAATAGTGTTACACTGTATTTAAGTGTTACTTATTGATGTACAGTAAAATTACAAAACAGATCAATACCTACATGTAGCCTATAAAGACTTGAGACACTGTATATACGAATAAAAGCTACAACAGTAATACTAAAGGAAAATGTTTTTTTACAAAAAGGCATAGTCATATTTTACATGATTTAAAACTCATTAAATATGTTCACATAGTTATAAAATATCTATTCATGAATGCTTTAAAATAATCATTTTGTTAAATATTATGCAATATTTCATATTAGGAAATTTAAATCATATTCAATTTGAAAAAAAAACAGCTAAAAAATTTATGAATAGGCATTCTTTTAAACACAGGAATTTGTGATGTAATATAAATTAGTTTCACCAAATGCATTATAAGCATGATTTTTATTTCATGTTATTAGCTCTGCTGAGCTTTTATCAAAGCTGCAGTTTTATTCTTATTTTAAATAGTCTAAAGTATTGCCTTAATTAAGGACATTAATAATATTACTTCATGTAAGACAATAACAGTCTGCATATGACATCACTTTTTCATTGTTAAGTCCTGTTCTCGCCCCCCCCCCAAACCCTTTCAAAAAAAAAAATTATATATAATCAAAACCGTCCAATACACTTGAATGATTTGAATCTGAAATCAACTATGTAATCAATGGGTGATTGGCAACCCAATAACTCGTAACACACTGCAATAAACTGCAGTGTGGTATGTTTAAATACAGAACTTGGTTGCTTCTTGTATTCAAGACAAATCAACAGCAACATACACAACTTTGTGGTCTGACCAGTAAGCTTCTAATGCTTCTGTATGAACTTCTGAATCAGTAAAAACTTTAAGAAAAATTAGATCCAGTATTGACCCATAGTCTGTTGTTTGTTTTGATATCATCTGTGTGCATCCAAATGTTTGGTTCATGAAACCTAAAAAGTTTTGGTTTCCTTTTTGCAAGTCAAAATTGAAGTCTCCCATAATTACAGTGTTTGAACGTCTATCAAGATTGGGAACAAGCTCTGTGATTAGTGTACCTTTGAAATCTTCAATTTTACAGCTTGGAGCTTTGTAAATCACAACAACCTGCATATGTCCTTTACTACAAGACAAGACATCTGCTAATATAAATTCAACATTGGTATTAGAATATGTTTTTATAGACTGTAATATACAGTCATTCTTAAGATACAGAGCAAGTCCATGTGGGGTCTGACTGTTATGTCAGTTTGTTCTTGATCATTTCTTATAGTAGGTTGAAATCCTGGTAAACTGTAAGCTTCATTTGAATATGTTGCAATTAACCTAGTTTCAGCTATACCAACAATGTCTGCATTAATAATGTTGGGATCAGCTTTTAAATCTTTGAAATGTGCATGAAGTGATCTAGCATTGTTGAATACAATCATTATATTGTCTCTGGTCAATGAATACAGTGGTGTAAAACATAAATGAAGTGTTGCATCTGATCTAAGTCTAAGCAATTCTTCCCTAACACTTTCTGAAACAGAAATTTTGTCTTCATTAAGGTCAACAATATGCAAACCACTCAATGATCTGACACGACTAAGCGCAACATAATGTATATGTGGAATTTTAGTTTTACATTTTGATTCCAAACTGACTACAACTTCATCAAGAGTATCACCTTGAGATTTGTGAATAGTTTTTCCTGCAGCAGGGCGAAGTGGAAACTGAATTCTCTCATGCAATTTGGTGTTATAAGTAAATGACCTCTTAATATCAAAGATGGGCGTCCATGATTGGATAATAGTTTTTGTATATAAATGACAGTATTTTTTTCTAGCATCTCTACCAATGTTGTCATCATTAAATTGCACCCATACAATACTTGGCCTTGAAGTTTTAGTTTTGTATTTTAATTTCACAAGAAGATCCATTTGTTAAACCATCGGTGACACCTATATTGGCAGTAAGGTCATATTTCATTCCAACTGCAATTTCTACTATCTTTGCAAGATTAGCAGTTTTAGACTGATTGTTTGGCAAGTATTGTAGTAACTTTGCCTTGCTGTCTGCAGAAATGTCTGCCTGAACTGTATCAACTGCAGTGACAACTACTTTTTCTGTCTTTAATTTTGATATCACCTCTGTGTTGAATCTGTCAACAAGGTCATTCTGGACAAACAAATTGATTTTATTGATTGGGTAATTCAGGTTTTTTGGGGACACAATTCTTGTATGTAAAATTGCCATATCATCATCTGTAAGTGCATTTTCTCTTAACCGATTTAAAAGCTCAGCAAAATGAAGGTCATCTTTTTGACGCATAATCTGAGTCAGTTCATGCATATTAAAAAGCTCTTTCCATAAATTTGGAGCAAGAGATGTAATTCCTTTGTCTAAATCTTGAAAAATCCAACCATCAAAACTGGTTTCAGTTGGAAAAAAATCTCCAATTGCAATCAAACTGACACCTCCAAATGTTTGCTTGTTACCTTTAATTAGTTGTAGACGAGATTCCAATTCTGAGAACATCTTGTTACCTACCATTGAAATTTTATCTATCAAAATTACTGATAAATTTCTATATTTCATCCTTAATGTATTAAGAACATCACAAGAAATAGGTTGGTTAAATCTTTTGTTTGGTTGGATATGAAAAGCATTGTGTATTGTGAGACCATTAATATCATAAGCTGCTTTACCAGTCGGTGCGCACAATAATATTCTTATATCATCTGGATCTTCACCTTCAGTGGAGCACAATTGTCTATGAAGTGCTTGGAAAATTGCACGTACAACTACTGATTTTCCAACGCCAGCACCACCGGTCAAAAATGCATATAAAGGTTCTTCTTTAATTTTCATCCAAGTTACGACATGCTGAAAGAACTCTCTTTGCTTCACATTTAAGCTACTAACCAAGTCATGAAAGTCATCATCTTTTATTCGTTTTGCATGACTGGTCAATTCCACTGCTGTTTGATTTACTCCAATATCTTGACCAATGTCATAATTCCTATGTTCTATTGGGCGATTAGGGTTAAAATGAACATACTGTTCTGAATCTGTTGCCCCTTCTTCCATATCATCTATTTCAACTTGTTGAGTGCCTGGTGCCAAGTCATGACATCATGTTGGTTACACTCATTTTCAGCTGATTCTAAAGCTTTGTCCAACTGTTCTGCATTGTTTTCATATTGCTTAGCTTTATTTTCAATAATTCTTTGTACAGTCTGGTACATTTGCTGATATGTTTCACATCCATTTTTAAGGTCAATTAACTCATTTCTCCAGGGATAGAAAAGCATTAATTTTTCTCTGTAATAGTTTTCAGGATCAGTTTTCTTGTTAAATCTTACATACCTTATAAATTTGCAGGTTTTAAGTTGCCTTATAGTAATGCCATTTTTCAGTGTTATTTTGAATTTGTTAGTTATGCTACTTTCAGGTGAATCTTCATCATTTTCAGTGTCAGAAGCTTCTCTTTCGAAGTCTGTGTCATTTGCATTGTCACCTTGATTGTCAGACATTTTCTTTGGAAATTTAACTTCCAGCTGAGATATATAGTCAGCAAGACACAAATTCTCTAAAGTTTGTGGTCTTTTTGAATACCGTTTTATATCATTTCCTGATTCTATGTCTACAGAGTCTGGTGAAAGTTTTTCTAAAGCTGAAGTCTGTTTTAACAAAAATATTCTTTTTTCTGGGGGTGATGTGTTTATGAAAACAACTTGTCTAGTAGCTTTTGTTAAAGGTATTTGTAAATTCAAATATACTGCCTCTTGAGCACTTGTCTCTACAGAATTAGTGAAATAATTGCCTATATGTCTGATTTGACGTTTTAATTCAAGATTGCCTTCTCTTGCTTCCTTAGCTGCTTGGGCAAGAAGTGCACTCATTCCTTTCTGAGATTAACTAATATAGGATACAATGTACATCGCACATGCATAAGGATCTAATACAAATTGTAAATCATGGTTAGCTTTCCAGGCAGATATGACTACTTTCATGTATGGATTGATACGCACTTCTGATGGTTTTCTTTTAAGAAAAACTTTAGTGCCATTTAGGCTACTTCTTATAATCTTTAAGTACTCTTCCTCACTAATTTCAAGAATATCATTCAAAAACTGTTCACATGTCATTTCCTCTATGTTTTCAAGTTTATGTAAAGAGTCTATTTTTTGTTGAACTTCTTTGTACTTGCCCTTGTATTTTTCTATATCTTCATCAAGTGGTTCTAAGATAGTGGTACTGTTCATTGGAGGTAAAGGAAAATTAAATCTAGACAGCATGTCCTTTTTTTCTACATGTTTTTGAATGTTTGTGAACCTGTAAATTGATCAAGTCTTCAGCATCTTCCAACATAGAGCATGACACATGTTTGTCAATGTATTCTGTAATATCTTCATTTGAACTTACTTTGTAAGTTGGGGCATCTTGAATCCACATAAGATATGAATATGAGGTGAGCCTCTTTGTTGGAATTCAACTCTGTAAAAATAATCAGTTAATTTTCCAAATGGGTGGTGATCACTCTTCAAAACAATCTTGATAAACTGTTGAACACGATAATAAAAAAAACGAGAGCAAGTTACTGGATCTTTCTGAACCAATTTAGTCTTTTGGTGCCAAGTCCATATTCTCTAGCTCATCATCACCATAGTCTTTGCCATCGTTCAATTTACCCAGAATTCTCAGTAAATCATTCCAACTTGTGTCTGCTGATGAAAAAGATCCAAACCATTTTGGCAAACCTAACTGGCGTATCATGCTGAACACATCTTTTTTCCTTTTTTCTAGGTAAACGGGTGAATTCCTGAGAGATCGAAAAATATAATAACCTTCATCCAATCTGACAAGATCATTAACAGTTCAAGGATTAAGAATATCTTTAGCAGTCCATTTTTTGTTGTCAGATTTACACCTTCTTATCGCTAAGTGAACTTTATCATTGATGTTTTTTAATTGTATTTTTTTAAGTTTGAAAAATATATTTGGTACAGATTGTGCAACTCGTCTGTCTGCAGCACGCAGTTCCCATTTAACTATGTCAGAATAGTGTACTTCAACATCTCTTTCTTTATTATCAGGTCGTTTCTGTCCACAGAAAATTGTTGGAAATGATTAGTACTCAGCATTAGGATCATTATACAAACTTAAGGGTTTTTGTCCTTCTCCCGGTGCAAATGTGTATTGAGTGTCTTGTGTTAGGTCAGATTCATTAGGCTGTTTATCCAATAAAGTATCTTTATTCCCAACCTGATTATCAGATTCATCTTCTTCACTGAAACAATCTGAGTTTTCTTCTTCAATGTGTTCATCGATATTTTCATTTGACGACAATTCAGCTGATTTAGTAATTTTATCAATCCAGTTTTTGTCTATTTCAATTCCAGAATTTTGATACAATTCACTTGTATTCATTAAATAATGTAATGCTGATACTACAGCGTGTGGTCTTACATTTTCACTGTAATCAGAACTTTTATAAGCAAGGTTTTTCTTTAATTTCACTGGAATAGTACCAGATTCATCAAATGTCCTTGGTAATGAGTTAACTATTGGCTGTACATCAACCGGTACATTGACAACATTTCCTTTGACTGATAATTATCCACCTCTTGGTAATTCTCTAATTTGCATGAATGGTATGCGTGGTGAAACAAACCTCTCTTCTAATGGATATAACTGAAGTTCTTTTGGCTTTTGACGAAACCCCATTTTGTTAGCTAAAGAAAAACGAGGAATTTTCTGTTTTTTATTGCAACAGAACATGTGTGACATATCCACTCTTTAGTGTCAAAAGATCTTAAATTTGTCAAGCACTTCAAAGCAATCTCAGTACTAGACTTTCTGATAACTTCTGCATTCACAACAGAATCCTTAAACCATGTTTGATGACATGATGTGCATATATAGGATGGAACACTGGCTGTTTTTTCTTCAAATGTTTTCACACAATTTTCTATTGAAGAACCATATATTTTTTTCTTTTTCAATAATGTTTCATGCTGTAAATATCCTTTGTCTTCTCTTTTTCTCTTTTTACTATCCTTATTGACTTGTTTGTCTTTCTTTGGATTTATCATTCTAGAACTCAGCTTTGCTAATCTTTCCTTGGATCCTGTCGTTTTAATTTTTTTTCATCAACCTCTTTTTGCTTATATTCTGGGTCTTTTCTTGCTTTTTTTTTGCATCAACCTCTTTTTGCATATATTCAGGGTATTTTCTTGCTTTTCTCTTAGCTTTAAGATCTTTCGTTTTTTCATCTTGTCTGAATACAGGATCCTGTCTTTTCAATTTTTTGTCATCAACCTCTTTTTTGCTTATATTTAGGATCTTTTCTTGCTTTCTGTTTTGCACCAATGTCTTTGGCATGAAAAATAGGGGTTTTTCTCCGTGTCTGCATGTACTGCTGCATGTAGGATTTTGATTTTCTACAAATCGTAGTTGTTAAATTATTATGAGGTCTATCACGTGTACTGTGTTTTCTTTTTTGGTCTTCAAAGTAATTTTGCAGCTGTGTATTAAAAACAAATACAGTAGCCATTTCAGCAAAACATAATGGAAGGATTTCAAAGTCTGATACTAATTCAATGTGCATACTGGTATAAAATGAATACATATAATTAACAAGATCATTAATATTTGTGAAACCAATTAATATTGACATTCCAGTTGACTCTTTTGGTTCATACAGAGCTGAATAAGAATGTGAATGTGAATCAAAAAAATAAAATAAGCCATTTTCAATATGAACAGCAGAGCAAATTGCACCAATCATTACAAGAACTGAAGGAGATTGTTTAAAACTTTCTATCATAGCATACTGTAACGACATAAATCCAGCTGATGTAACTGTTTGTATAGCTTGACCAAACAAAATGGTTTTTTTGTCAATCTTAAA